TACATCCTAGACGACAAGGCAAATTTCTTGGTGAAAACCCTTACTGAACTAGTTGATTCACATGCTCCTATAGTGGTGAAAGAAATAAATTGTTAATGGGGAAATAAAATGTGATGGACAGTTGAACTGGACAATATCATAACAGAAAGAGACAGGAGGTAAAAAAGAGCAATAATTACACAAGCAGAGGATGACTGGGAATTATACAAAGAGCAAAGAAATTTAGCAGTTAAAAAAATAAGAGAACAAAAGAGATACTTATACCAATTGAGAGGAGACTCTAGAGAAATGTGGAAAACCTTGAAGAGTATAATTGGTTCTAGGAGCAAGTTTAAGGCAATAGATGGTATCATGTTTGATGGCAAACTGTTAACAGACAGTCTCGAAATCGAAAATAGTTTCAATCACTTCTATATAGAGAGCACAAATGAGCTAAGTACTATACCTGATCCAACAGAATGTGACAGAATGCTTGACAGTATAGTAACACCATCTAAAAAATTCACAGGATTCAAGATATTACAGATATCAGAACTTAGGAAAATTGTGAATGATCTGAAAAACAAGAAAAGTAGCACTGATGGAATAAACACAAAGATATTGAAGCTCTCATTTGAAGCCATTGGCAATCGTTTCTTGGATGTAATAAACCAAAGCTTACAAGCTTTGTCATTTCCAAGTGAATGTAAAATGTCAACTATTATTCCCATAGAAAAAGTTAGTGGAACTATTCAGTGTGAAGAACATAGATTAATTAATATGGTACCAGCATATGAAAAACTTCTAGAAACGGCAGTTAATATCCAGGTTCGAGATTATGTGAGTGCAAGCAATATTATTACAAACTGTCAAGCAGGTTTCCAAAGTGGGCACTCATGTGAAAGTGCTCTACAGTCAGTGATATCTAACTGGAAATCTCCATTAGACAAAAAAAAAATGGTGGGCGTGGTTTTCTTGGACCTTCGCAGAGCATTTGAAGCTGTTAACAGACAATTACTAATTGGGAAGTTACAAAGGTATGGCTTTCAAGGTAAAGTCCTAGGTTGGTTTTCACAATACTTGGAAATGAGATCTCAAAAAACCAAATATTTAGAATCATTATCTGAATCTAAGATCAATGTACATGGTGTTCCACAGGGAACTGTGCTGGGCTCAGAATTGTTTTTGTTGTACATAAATGATATTGTTAATATAATTAAGAAGTGTGAAATTCAACTCTTTGCAGATGACACTATGCTTTTTGTTAAGGGTGATTCAGTGGACGATATAATAAACTTTTTAAATGAAGATTTAAATAATATATATAAATGGTTAAACAATAATAGTTTAAGTGTGAATGTAAATAAAACTAAATCTATGATATTGAAATATAAGCATAATGTAACTAACACATACAATAAGAAAGGTATAGTAATTAATGGTAGTAGACTAGATCAAGTTGATGAATGTAAATATTCAGGAATAATTATAGATTAAAATTTAACGTTTTCAAAACATGCAATTTATATAACCAAAAAGCTATCAAAGAAAGTGAATTTATTATGTAGAATGGGGAAAGACCTGAGTGTCTGGGCTAAATTAATTATATATAAGACGATAATCCTACCACATTTCAGTTACTGTGCAACAATCTTGTATATGTTTAAGAAAGGTGATATTGATATTATTCAAAAAAACAAAACCAGGCATAGAGAAGTATTTTGGGATGGGGAAGATATGGTAGAATTAAAGACATGCTGACATCTACAAATTTATTAAGTGTAAGCCAGGAGATCTTTTATAACACTATGGTGGTAGTATACAAAATAAGGAATAGAATGTACCCAGAGCATATTATTAATAAATTAAAAATGGTCAGCGATATACATAGTTATAATGTTAGATGTAATTCCAACTTTTATGTGTCTCGGGTACAATCTTCCTTTGCCCAAAACAGCTTATTTTATAAGGGCCTTGTAGATTTTAATAGGATTCCAGAAGAAATTAAAACTACAAATTTTGTTTACTTCAAAAGGCATTTAAAAAAATATGTAATAGGAAATTGTAGTTCATAAGTTTAATTCCAAATGTCTTCTCTGTTAGCACATTGCTATGAAATAAAGAACATCATCATCATCATCATCAATTCTGGAAAGTTGAATAAAACGGTCAAAGGACACTCCAGCACAGAGGCACAGTCACGAAAAATAAAAGCTGGTACATTATCCGGTCCGGTAGTCATCTTATGTTTTATTTGCTTCAAGGCTAAGACAACTTCATCCTCCTCAAGTCTAGTAATAATGAGTAGTAGTTCATTGCTCATTAAAAAGTCATCAGTTTCTTCGGTGGCTGATAAAGACGAGTAGTATTTGGAGAAGTTATCCGCAAAAGCATCTAATATGTCGTTCGGTTCCAAAAGTTCATTATCATTGTAAATCATCCTACTTGATAAGTTTATTGATTTTCGCTTAGAATTTAAGAAGCCCCAACATTTATTCGAATCTCTTTGTATTTCGTTCTCAGCTTGTCTGACATATACTTTGTATGCTTCTTCTGAATCTATCTTAATTGTTGATCTAAGTTTTACTAAGTGTAGACAGAACCAATGGTTTGCTTTCTTCTCCGATACATGTAGTATGTAAAAACTATGAACGTGCAAGACATGCTGTAGATTTGTTCTTTTGTAATTTGCGCAATTAAAAAAAAATGCAATAGTAGGTTAAGTCATTTGGTAGTCATAAGATATTTTTTAAACATTTTATATATTTCTTTGTCCCTATCCACTAAATAGTACAATAAATAGTTCGCATAGTGTATATACGAGTGAATAAATATCGTAGCGTCATCTATGAGAGTTTGTCACAGCTAAATTTCTCATCTCCGCACTAACTAGTAATCTACCTTGAAAAAGTTAGTGTCTCATAGATTAAACTGTAGCCAACTAAATTATACACCTACAGCATATATTTCACATTCAGAAAAATATAGGGTTTAAAAATTTGGGGTTGTAGGGCGTATCTCAACTTTTTGGTGGCAGTTTATTTATATGCTTCCAATCCCTGCGAATCTACGTACCTATTAGTACATATTTCACACATCATAGATTTTCCCGTACATTTGCCGTAAATACTAGGAAATATTCATCGATGTGTCATGTGTCGTTCCGTTACCACCGAGAGTACAACAGACGCGTGACGTCACCACGAGTAGGCCGGTCGGCCGGCCGACAGCACGGCGTGCCGTACATCAGCGCTAGTGAATAATATATTATTGCAGCATATTTAATATACTGTACCTGATGTAAATAACAAATAATTCAGAAAAGTGTTTTTGGTATATGAAGGCAACTTGGTGGAATATATTAAAGTAGTTATTAACTATTTTCACCCTGATCTTCACTGATATTTCATCCAACATTACGTGCACATTAGATTAATAAGTTGATGTTATAAAAACTTGCTAAAAATGATAGATTCTTCAATGAATAACCCCATGTTAGTCACAACCGATCAAAAAAATTTCACAGGAATATGTGGACAATTTACTATTATTAGAGGTATAATACTCGTATAATGCTACTTGAAAGTTATATAAAAAATGTAGTGCTTGTAGAACAGTTGTGTCCACCAAGAATCAACGAGGAGGTCTGAGGTAAGCTCTTGCCAGGAAAGGAATAAGGAAGATGAGGAGGAAAGAGTGTAGGATAAATGATAAGAAAAACAGATAAAATCAAAGTAAAATAAACAACAGAAAAAACTTAACAAAGATTAACGAAAACTTAATAAAAACTCTTAGAACAAACAAATAACAGCACAAAATAATAACAAAAATTAGAAAACAGAAAACAGGTATCAAAAATAACAAAAATTAGAATAACGTAAATTAAAGTGCTAAATTCTGAATATGTGCAAATAAACATTTATCTCCAGCTATCTGATTGTTGCGGCCTCATGTGAATGTAGTCAATTTACGGATGCGGATAAACAATGCTTGTTTTATTATCTGGAAAAAAATATGCCATCGCTTTACTATTCAGTGCATTATTATCACTTACAACACAAAAAATTGTATAACCAAATTCTTCTAATCCAATAATAAGTTTTTTGTCATATTGTATAATAGATTATGATCAATTTTAGAAACAGGACAGATTTGAACAACTTCTTTGAAATTGGAGTAGAAGCTTCTAATCATAAACACATAGGCTGTTGTGGCTAATGAAGTATTATTAATTGACGTTCCAACAATATTACCCCCTTTGAAATCTAAATATGGCTGAATGTGTATTTCATCCATCAATAAAATCATGTACTCCTCACCAGGTTTTACAAATCTGAAAAGGTTTTTTGCATAGCTTAAAAAGTTATATCTCTCATCGGGAACTGGATCGACCATCAATGTATTACATATTGACTTCAGAGTATTTTGGTGTGGTAAAATAGGTGCTCCATGGCTCCTAGTAAATCTATATGAATGTGGACTGATTGTATACAACATAGAGCAAAACACTATTGTTTCTGATGAGTAACTGTGTCTGTTCTTCTGACTAATAGCAAGCTTTATTTGCTCACAAATAAATTGAATGACGGTGTGGGTCTCTCCATCGGTGAATAGTTCTGTGCTATTTAAAATATTGTAAGCATGGTTGATAGTGGCTCTGAACTGGTCTTTACCTTAATATTCCCTCGAAGCACCTACATTCTCAGAAAGAACATTCAGAACATCATACAAGTGGTGTATACTAGATAATAAAAATGGACTTTTAATATTACCTGAGTTGAGTAACAATTCTTGGGAGGACATATACGTTTTTACATTGAGATCTTTATCAACAATTACAGAGTGAGTTATGATGGGTACTGGTTTATATTCTAACTTAAACAAAGTAACTTTATCCTGAACAATTTTATGCCACCCATATGGACATTGCCATGAACTGAAAACTATGAGAAAGTCTGAATAATTTTGAAAACAAGTTGATTTTTGATAGGAGGAATAATCATCAATGCTAGTTTGCAGTGCTTTAAGTAGTTGTTCTTGTTCCTGGTCCCTCAATTTCTCATCTCGGCTTCTTCTGCGTGATATGTCCTTTGAAAGGTATTTTGGACAATTTGCAAAGATACTTGGAATTACATCTGCCTTTAATTTTGGATACTTAAGGGGTACAGTAATGGTCCTACCTGTCTTTTCGTCATGGAAGGTGGATTCCCAAATGATGCTGTCCTCAGCAAAGTGCAAATTACATACTCGGGTGTATTTTGTAACCACTAAATCACTACGAGGGATTGCATTGAGCCATCTTTTACGACAGTTTTCGTTCAGTGGACACGAAAATACGTGTACCTTCGCACCCTTCCCGTAATCACCAACACAATTAGGAACGCAGCACTTGTAAGGCATTTTGAAAACTTAGCTAAACAATCGCGAGACACAAATATAAGTTTAAAACATCAATAATTTTCCGTATACATAGCATTCAAAGATGAGGCTCAGAATGTGAGGTTAGTTGGCAAGGTTGCCACATCTTCCAATTTTGAATGGAATATTAGACTTCACAAGTGACAGATTGAACGTAATATCGAAAATGTATTCTTGACATACTGAGGCAGATCAGAAAGAATAATCACATCATCACTGAAGCTGCGCAAGCCCCGAGTACATCTTGCAAATTCGCCCACAGAGAGGTACAACTAATTAGTAGAGATTTCGATACTGCTATATCAAACCTAGATATGACAACACCGCAGAGAAATGGTGGCGCGGTTCTCTTGCCAGCCAGTCATGGCGAAACTCCATAAGAACATGCATAGGCCTACTCTACGTGACGTCACAGGCTTTTCAGAGCCCAGTTGTTTGGCCTTGTACTCTCGGTGGTAACGGTCGTTCAGGGTCGCACAGCAGCCTTCATGCACCAAGCCTTGATGTTTGCGCCTGACTGCATCGGTGACGCCCTCGATTTCGAGTTATACTATCATGGCTGGCGCTTATGGCATGGTTGATTGGTGCTGTTTACCATCATTGTAGATGTTATATATTTTCAGTGGCATTGGAAACACATTTCTAATTGTATGGTCCCGTTTGGCTGACTTGATTCATTTAATTTCTTTGTTATGAGCAGCCAAATTTTTCCTCAGACGGGCTAACTTGTGCCGAACATAATCCTTTATGAAATAACTAGTGTCAACCAACTTGTTGTACAAATAGTTTGGATAAGGATTAGTTTCATATTTGCCTTACGCAAACTTATGTATAGTATGTGGAATAGCTGTCTTTTCAATCCATCATATAAAGCGGGTTTTTTATTCCTTATCCTTGTAACACGGGACATAAGAACAAATACAAGTACGGTTATCATCCACCGCAGGTAAAGTAATCTTTAACACTTGACGATAAAACTCTCCGTAAATACAGGGTGTAATCAAAGGCTTTCCTTTTTAGAGTCAATTACGCTGATTTGCGGCAAAACAATACGTAAAAAGAAATATAAGAAATACGAGTATACCCACTATTCATTTGATGGGGAATTTCAAGTCCTGACCTGTCACATGTTTGAAAACCCTGCTTGAAGTTATCGCTGTTCGAATCACGAGTTACCTCATCCTAAATTTGCAGCCTTTGGAGTTGTTTAGGACTTCAACTGTGTTCAACCAGACGACTTTTGCACTATATAAGCAAACATATGGCGCTGCGATGGAAAGAAACATCGAGGACGATGGCGACGTTCTGAGTACCAACAGGATCTTGGAGATACTCATATTAGATTTCGGTTTTCTAAATGCGGTTTGTTTATAAGCTAGGTCAACTTAGACACCTGATTCGGATACTCACTCACATAGTCGTAGTACAACATCATACGTTTTGACGTAAAAGGAGATTGTGGGAGCCTAACTAACAATTATCACTCCTATTAGAGTTGCAAGAACGATTAAACAGTCTTCCTTACACAGCATTGTATGCTGTAAGAACATTGGCAAAACGCCCGTAGAACAGCTATACAAGCGAAATGGACACACCTAATAGGACACTTCAGTCATTTAAGAGGTTGTATAAGGCCTGCAGGTAACAGTTATACAACAGAAGTGTAAACCTCTTGCAGCCGCTATAGAACAATTGCGTCGGTGCAAGATTCAGTTTTTGTCAACTATACAACTATTCTGTTACATGATTCTACTTTATTGCAACCAAACTATTTCTTATGTACTGTATTGGCGATAACTAACACATTATAGTCATCTTGTTTACGTACATATCGGCCATTGTGAATTTCATACACATGTATATGATAAAATTCTACACGGTGATATAGGCGCTATTGAATTACTTGCGCAGCAAATTTTATTGTGATTATCGTGCAAAGTAGTTACGCAATTTGTACAGGCTTCGTATTTGATTCATATTTTAATAATGATCAAAAGTATGTTTAGATTTTTAAGATGAAAAGCTGAACTTATCTGCGTTAAATCTTCCACAAATCCTATATTTAGACACAATTACACTAATGTTTATCACATTATATCTGTAATGTCGAACTGAAACATAATTAATTTTGAAAAGAGGAACATATTTTTGCCCAATATGGCGGGTGGATATGTATAGTCATGGCATCGTCCATGTTGTCTTTGGTTTATTAGAAAATTTTGGTGTTGTCCGCAAGTGTTATACAACAATTTGACGAATCTCTAAAATGAAATACGGACCGAGTCGAATGATTTACCCAGAATTTCTACCAGATCTGTATCTCCTGTTTGAACAGTTGATAAAACCTTTTAAACCAATATACATGTCTTAGGATATTGGTTATGGCATTTCAACTAAAAAGATGACAGCAGAAAGTTAGGTTATGGTGAAGTTGTATACCAGTATATTTAGCAACAAATGTCTGCCGAGCACAGCAATTTTGTACTATAAAAGTTGTAATATTGTTGCATATGTACAGCCTTTAATAGTTACTAAACAGTTGTATAAGTGCTTCCGTTGGTAGAAATTTGTTGGCTAAAGTAGTAAATGTGCACACCAAATCAACAAGACTCGGGTTTGTTGTTTAAACGTTACCATGGATGCCACAACACAACTATTTTCACTACCGAAGAAATAAGCCTTATAAAATAGTTGTATAAATGTTTGTGCAACCATACAAAATTTGTCCTTTAAGGTGCATGCTATAAGAATATTTTAAACACCTCATTTTAGAGCAAATATACTGCAGAAAGCAAATTTGCATTCCACGCCACATTAAGCCAGCATTTTGGTGTTCAGGCAACAACACAACAACAATAGAGAGCTTTTATGACTGAAGAGTTCTTTTACCAAAAGCTTATAGCACTTTGCTAGTTGGGAGGGAAGGGTGGCAGATTCGTAATGACCCATTTATTGGTTTTTAGAAACTAGTATCTCGGTTACCTTAAAGCTATGTTATATATGTTACTAAAAAACATGCCTATTATCTCGTGACGATCTGTGAAGGAAAGTCCCAACTTACACACTCTGTTAATACAGCCGGGATACATATTCTTATTGGCGTTACAATTTAAATATCTTAATAGAGCGACGAGTCCCTATGGAAATACCTAAATCACAGGAGTCAATTAAGCTCTCCAGTTATTTTTCTTCAATTAAAGTCTGTGTTGGTTTAGTGTTCGGGTATACAAGACTCTCTGGACAGCGGCGTAAGGGAATGAAAGTAGACAGCTGCTAAATTACACACGTGTATCTTTGTGTGTACATGGTTGGCAACAAACCGATACAACAAGCTGAGCCTAATGCATTGCATCGTAACTCATGATTTAATAATTTACGAGAAACATTATCCGACACACGTTGGGAGTGTAGTTACTCATGCAGATGTATGTTGATAGGGTAATAATCGGAATCATCGCTTTATGAGATGTTTTAGTCGTACAACAATAAAATTGAATTACATTGGAGAGGTTATGCCCTGAATAATGACTGCTATATCGTCAAACGTCCTTTGGGTATGTCATGAAGTTTGACAATCAAGGCATAAACTCATGATGACTATCCAGTATCCAATATGGGGTAATAAATAAAACAAGTTAAAAATAATCTTGTTCCGTATTTCAAATATTTAGGTGATTGATGTAATACGCTTTTGTTTGGAAACTTAATAAATGGAAAAATTAACTGGACTTTCTTCAATTTTTCATTAATTTTTATCTACAAAAGTCAAAAAATTAAGGAAGCAAGAAAAAAATTCAAATTTTTCTTTATATAAAAAGCATTTTGAAGCTTCAAGATACTAGTTTTCATTCAATTCTAACAGATGGCGCATAACCTTTGTCTTCTTCTTTTTAGTCCATGGGCTTGAAAAACATATTTCCTGTCAGGCCATATGGATCAGATAGCCCATTTACTCAGCTTCAATATCTTGTTTTTAAAATCCCGATACGATAGTTTGTCGTGGAGATATTTTGAATGATAAAGGTTCCTTTTGTCATCGACCACCGACTGATAACTGGAATAAATCGCATATAAGATTTGATTATAATTTTGGGAAAATTCTTTTTGTTTCCTTTGTGTTGATTATCATCGAGTAAAAAGAGGAAGGAAAACATTTTGCAAAAAACGTTTCTCGCGCTATCTGTTGCATGAAAACCGTTGCTACTAAAATTTTTCGGTTGAAAACTAGAAATTTGAAGCTTCAAAATGCTTTTTCTAAGGCCTAGATAAGACCATTTTTTACAAAACTACATCCTACTAAAGATCACCGAAATTTTTTTATCGTGTCCCCTTAATATTTTTAATCAGTCCAATTCACATACAAGTTGTTCGAAAAATAGACAGAGATATTTTAGAGGATAATTCCTTGTTCAAAAATATGAAAAAAGTTTCTATAAACATGGGTCCGGATATGCAGAGTTTTCAACATATAAATTTGAAAAACAATTTTATCTCCAAAAATATTTACTCGATCTGTTGACATTTGACAATATTATTTGTTGTGTAAAGAGGCCCTAGATAGATTGAAATTATTAGATCCAGTGGCGTCTCGGGGGCACCTTAGCGAATATTATTGGCAAAAAGTGTACGCCACTGTCTTTTTTGTAACTTTAATATTTGAAAAACAATTTTAAATTTATCACACTGTATCATGAAAACTCTGCATTTCTGGACCCATGTTTATAGAAACTTTTTTTCATATTTTTACAAGGAATCGCCCTCTAAAATATCTGTTTCGAACATCCTGTGTATTCTACTAATAGGACTGTATGAAGCCCCTTAATTCATTTCTCGTATGAGCTATCGATCGATATAAATAATGTATATTAAGTAAATACAACGTACTCGATGGCTGTATCCGTTCACTTGCTCGAATAAATAAAGTGCACCTACATATATTTCAGCGATGTATCTACTGTGGAAAAGCTGAAATTTGATATGGTAAGTTTAGATAAGTATCTATTGTGTATAATAGTCCACTAACATAATATTCAGACCCTAAGTCCGGAGCACTTATGTAGAATCAAGCGAGCAACTCACTGAGCTTGCGTTCTGTCTTTACATGGTCACCTTACAGCTCCATTCGCTCCATGAGGCTTAATAATATCGCATTGCCATATTGGACACCCGCCATAGACTATTTAGTAAGAAGTCACTCTGCTTATTACATTTTGCTTA